CTTATGGAGACAAACCAATCGATGTACACAGTTGCTGCCCTTGCATGGTCTGGGCAGACTGGAATTCAGAGAAATACCAAAGCTGAAGTGGTTTCTCTAGTGTATTTTCATGAATGGGTGGAGAATCAAAGCTCATGGGTTTCTAGGTGAGACATCCATGGCTCTCTTACCAATAAAATCAATTCAGACATTTGTTAGGTGCCAGAGCTATTAGGTGGACACCTAGACACACGGAGTGAACTGATGCAAAAGGTCTTCCCCTCCACTACACACACATAGAGATGCTGGATGACATATAACAGAACACATTTCTAAAACTATATGTAACTGGCTTTAAGGAAATTGGCCAGATTCCAGAAATGAGGAGCAAAGTCCCACCCAGAGCAGTAGGCAGGACCTGATATATGGTGAGCTGTCAGGGTCTCAGACGAGGATCTGGCCCCAGTGCTGGAGGTGAAGGTGCCTAAGCCCTGAGAGGGGAGAAGAGGGTATCTTGAGTTGTGGGGATGATACATGGGAAAGCATGTTGGCAGGAACCCGGATGCGCTGAAGTACACTACCACAGGTGTTTATGGGGGGGGGGGGAGAAATCCTTCCATCAATCATTTGGGGACACGGCAAGGAAGCCTGCGCTCTGCCCATGCACCCTCTGTTCACTGGACCTTCATCCTCTCTCATGAGAGAATGTAGAGTCAGGGCATCCCCCAGGTCTGCTGCAGATAACCAAAAGCTGAGAGATTGCACAATCTCAGGTGGGACCAGGAGAAGACAAGACAGTCATTCTCGGAAGGCACCATCACCAGAGATTTTTCCACAGGAAAAAGGAAAGACCAGTTAAAGGTGAACAAACAGTCCCAAACAGAAAGGAACTCAGAGAGAGAGAGAGAGAGAGAGAGAGAGAGAGAGAGAGAGACAGACAGAGACAGACAGAGACAGACACAGAGAGACAGACACAGAGAGACATGGAGACAAAGATGGACAGATAGACACAGACACATATACAGACAGAGAAACAGACAGAGAGAGAGTCACACACAGAACACAATTAAAAAGACAAGTCTTTAAGATCCTGTGGCAGTAGAATAATCCAAAAGAGATAATCGGACGTGTTTAAAATTATTAGGAGATAAAGCAGCCGTAACAGTGGAAGAGAATGCAGTAGCAAGACAAGCAGCAGACGTGGACTTGACAAGGGCACTCCTGCAGGGAGGAAAACCAGGAAGCTGGCCGTTTCTGAGGCCTGCACTTTCCAGGGAAGACAGAAAACACAAACCATGATGAGGCAGCCGAGAGAGGGGCAGCCCGAGAACCTCTAGAGTCCAGAGCGAGCATGCCTGACCCAACCTCCTCAGAGGAGAGAACATTTGAACTAAGGCATGAGCCACCCAAGCAGCTATTAGCTCACAGGACCAGGAAAGGGGGCCTCGCCATCCAAGGGACAACTGGTATCAAAGCCTGGAAGGGACTGTCACAGTCCTGAAGGATGAGCAGCTGAAGGGAGCTGGAAGATGTCCCCACTAAGGGAATATGGTATGGAATTTGGATTTTTACCTTGGGGTCAGAGTGGAGCCTCTGCACATGGGGAGTGGCATGACCTGACTTATGTTTTACGGAGATGGCCCTGGGCAGTGAGGATAACAGGAAGAAGATTCGGGGCAGAGAGGGCAGCAAGCTGGTGCAGTGATTTAGGCCAGAGGTGAGTGTGCTTAGAAGGGGAGGTAGGTGGGAATGAAGGTGGATGAACCAGATGGACTTGAAAGGAAAGGGAGGGTGAAGAGGGTGCATTGTGGATGGTGTCTCAATTTCTAGCATGAATAACAAGGTGAGTGAGGCACTATTTTTGGATCAGATCCAACAAAGAACCAAACACCTCATAAACATGCCCTACATGTGTGCTTGCTGAAGAACAGGCGGTCTTGGTGGGATGAAGGGTTTGCACAGCAGAGAGGTCACATCAGTCCACTTTCTGTTCCCACCTTGACCTATGCGCCTGACCTACCTCATCCTCCCACCTCCTCCTGCCTTGCAGTACCCATCCATGACCTGCCAGGGTAGACAAAGCTCCATGTTGTTCACCTCCAGGTCCCAGGGACCACCTGGAAGCATTTACCTCCATTCCCCCAAGATGGGGTGAATATCAGGCCTCTCCCCACTGTCCTCCCCAACCACTGGCATTCTACTGTGAATAACTCTGCTCTCATTTTTCATTAATTTTCTTAGTGCTCTGCATTTCTACTAGCATGAAAATTTCTATTCAATGGTATTATAATTTTCCTTTACTAATGGGGTTGGTATTTTTATTCATTTGTGTTTTAAATCCATTAGCATAAAATTTACCTCCAGTAATACTTACTGTGGTCTTGAATGCCCTTAAAACTTACCCTGAGTGGTAAGTCTATAATAAGGGAATGCTGGTAATCATTTAAATGTCTTTTCTGGGTGGAAAAAGGCTTTTTATTTTCATCATGGCTGGCGAGTTCTTTGATAGAGCGATTGGAAGAAGGATATAAAGTATTAAGGGCTGGGGACACTGCTAGTTTGTAGATGTTTTCAAACAAGTCCCCTGGTTATTTGGAGGACATTTTTATATTCTAGGAGGATTCATATTTGTGTTCTTTTTCATGTTGTTTTTTACCTGACTTACAGAAAAATATAACTTGTGTGATTGCAGGGAACAATATTTAGAGCCATGGATTGTTTGGAAGTAAAGGAACCTTGAAATTACTCTCTCTGACTGACATTTGCAGGAGCTGGAGAGTGCAGCTTGCAGTGGCCCCATTGTGAGGCTGATGAGAGCCAGGTCTCTGAGGGCAGCGATATGGGGCAGGAAGGGCGCGTGAGCTCAGCTAGATTTGTGGGCAGGGTGATCTGTGTGGCCTCACCGGGCCCCATGCTGTGAAATTCACAGCACTGCCACGTTGAAATTGTTTACAAGTGCTGAGCAAAGGGCTCCAGGTCTGCACTGGGCCCTGAAAATTTTACATCTGCTAGGGAGACACTGCACGGTATATGGGTTTTGGAGCCAGACAGACTTGAACTGAAGTACTGGAATTTTCTGGGGTTGACCACGCTCCGGTGTCCTTATGTGCAGTACTGGGATAATGATGCTATGACCCTCTCAGCTCTAACATGAGGGGTGCTGACAATAGCAGTTCAGCATCTAGGGATGCTGAAAGGGTGATAGACACTGACATATGCTCTTTCCCATGAGCAGAAGCCATAATTAAGCTTTTTATGATGACTTTATATGAGGAACATTATCCCAGACACTAGCACAACCCCAGGTGTTGCAGGTATGATCATACCAAGCAAAGAGTGTGTTTTTAAGAGGGAGATGTGAACCATTACACTGTTATGCAAATGACTATTAATCCTCCCTGGTACCTTATGGTCCCAATTTTATATGATCCCTGCATGCGTCCCTCCTCTCTGGAGACTGCTCAAGAAAGTCAACAAGTGATACTGGATTATCATGAAGATGCCCATGATCTTGACCTAATTTATTTGAAAACTTTAATTTTTCAACAATTATTTGTAAGATATGGCTTTCTACATCCTGCAGCCCAGAGCCAGACAGACCCGTGGGTCACAACTGCATGAGAATCAGGAATGTGAACCCTGAGGATCAGCTCTACCAGCACAAACGTGGAGCCCTGTGACTTTGCTATGGCTGGAGGAAGTGACGTCACTGATGAGACCTGACGGCTGTCATCAGAGGAATGGAGCAGCTAATGGGTGACCCTGTGATGGAAAGTGTGTAATCTTAAAACAGCTGGTGAAACTTTTAAAGTCTCCTTTGTGGAAAAAATATATCAAATAAGAAACGGAAGTTTGTTCTTGGGCATTTAAAAAATTCTAATCCCAAAGGATTCCTCAGGGGATAAGAGGAGGTGGGGTGACCTTTGCTGCCTTCACTTTGATAAGATCTGTGGGACCTTGGAGTCCAGATTGCAGCTTCTAAAGGAAGCACTTGGAGTTTTGGCCATGCTCACATTGTCACACTGCTCAGGTCCCTGAGCACATACAGCAGGACGTGGGGGTACCCATATATCTGGGCATCTTGTGTTGCCCAACGAGCACCAAGAGGGCTGTGACAGGAGCACCCCATTCACAGTCTTCTTTGTCCCTCCTTCCTCCAGAACAACCAGTGGGTAATGAGGCATGGCTGCCCCTGGGCTCTCTCAGGCCAGAGGTGCCTTTGTGGGAGTGACAGACGATGCCCAATGGGGGCCTCTCTACAGCAAACCACCCTTTAAACACTGCAGCTCGTCTTCCAAGATCCTCCCAGTAGCCCTCTGGCGCCAACCAGATCAGCCTTTAAATGAGGGACAATGACACAGTCAGCCAAACAATAGACAAGAAGTGTGGGTCTTCCCTCCTGTGTCTCTCAGTGGTATGCATTGGGCTTAAACAATGGGATGGCACACAGAGGACCCTTTGGGACATGTTGATAATGACTAATGACCAGCTAATTTATCCAACACCTCAAGACAGAGCTGCAAAAAGCATGTGTGGATATAACAAATGGTTACTTGAAGAAATGGCAACTTGGCTTAGACAGCTTGAGTAACACTCTCCACCTCCGAGAATTGTAGTAAGAAACCCATAAGTAACTGTGTCAACTCCCAGGAGACCAGTGATGCGGCATTCCAACAACAGGGCAACAGCAGCAGTGTTAAGCATAAACCAAAGAACGCATGAATCCAGTCAGGAAAAATCGGAGACATCACAGTGAGTGTTTGTGTCCCACACCGTACTTCACATAAAGCCCCAAACCCAGCAGATGTTCTCCTACAAAACTGCACTGCAAGTTTCAAGCTCCTGGAGAAGAAGCCTCAGGGGATGCTTTGCCTGCATATCTGAGTGTTAGTTAATCTATGATTGTTAATTCCTGTTGCTGAATTTCTCCCTCATCTTCACTGGTGGGTCCAATTCTGAAACTTGTTCGATGCCTTTGCTGGTGTTTCTGGGTTTTGATTATTTTCTAATTTTGTTCTTACCTGTTGTCGGATTTCTTCCTCCATTTTCACTGGCGAGCCCAATTCTGCAACCTGTTTGACACCTTCACTGGCATATCCTCCATACTCCCACAACACGTAATTTTTGGAGTGGGATCCACCAATGATCGCAGACCAGTGATTGGCTCGACCTGGGAAAGTCAATCAAGAGGCAGTTATCAGTGGCACTGAGGCTGAAACATAAGCTCCTCACATAATGAAGAGGAGGGGTGTCATGGTTTATGCCGGTGGCCCCCAGGCCTCATGGATTCACGCAGGGGTAAGAAGCTATTCTATCTTAGGTCCTGCATTACTCAGTAATAAGGTAGCATTCCTATTAACAATAATTCTGGGGATGGTGCAGCCTTGTCAATAGCAGATGCGTGAATAAGACAGGAATCTATGCATGCCTTTTGTCTGGGAGGGTCTTAGAGAAGGGAGCAATTGAGAGAAATTTTAAAGGCTGATCAGATTGGTAAGGTAAAACTTGGAAGTAACATCATTTCTGTCAGGCCCAGAAACATTAAATAATACTGTATTTGGTGAGTTGTCAGTAATTCAGCACTGCTGTGTCACAAACTGTGGAGGAGAGTTAGGAGATGATGCCAGGAAGGTAGCAAGGAGCCTGCTCATGGGTGGCCTTGCTCTAGATGCTTCAGGAGTTTGGATGTCATTTGAAAGGATCTAAAAACCACTGGAGGGTTCTAAGCAGGGAATTTGAGATAAATCATCCAGGCAGCTGTGTGAAGAATGCCTTAGAGGGAGCAAAACCTGGAGTGGAGAGCTGGGAGATAAGCAAAGGGCAGAAACTAAGGGTTATGTGTGGGAGGGGGCAGGCGTATGCAACTCTCAGGACTAAGCATGGCTCTCTTCTGTGACTGTTATGTACAATCCAGTGTGAGGGACAGGCAGCCTCGCCATACTTTAAGGGTGGTATAGCCAGTGTGGATCTGTAGAAGTGACCAGTCCATAGTGGTTTGGAGCTGATACATGGGATGGTGGCAGTTGTGGATGTTAAGAGAGAATCAGTGTGCAACATGACAGCACGGGGAAACAACGTAAGAACCAACCGTAACCAAGGTAGAACTTAATTTGAGGATTTTGCTAAAGTCAACACCAGCACTATACTGGATTTGCTTTTACATGCAACAAATATAGATGCATCCATTTTTCTTATTGACTGAGTCACATACAGGTCAGCATAGGATTTACTCAATTTTTAGCCATTCTTTAGTCTTACACAGTCTCAAGTTAAAGAACATTTTCAGGCACAGCAAAGGGGAAAATTTGAACTGGGTGAATCCAATGGACAGTTTTGATTTATAAACCTGTGACCCAGTGTGGATAGAATGCTTTTCTCCATCTCACCATCTACAGAAAGGACTCCAAATAGGGCTTGGTTCTGTTTATACAGCTGCCACTGCTACCCCTGGGCCTTTTGCTCCGGGGGCACAGCAAGAATATGGGTACAGAGGCAGGCTGAACTCTCCTGGGCTACTGAGGGCAGCGTATAACCAGCCAGGCAGGCGATGGTACTATGTGTGTCTGCCCAATTGCTTACTCATTATTTTCCGCACATCAGGAAAATGCAAACTCCACTTTTATGTCTCATACTCCTAAAGATAGATGGAGACGCTGCCAGCTATTTCTCTAGCTCATTTCCTGGGTGGTAAGATGTCTTAGCTGTCAGTCGAGCAGAGAGCATACTTGTGAGGGGCAAGGGCTGGTAGCTTGTGATTTTTGGTTCATGAGGAGCACACGGTGACTAGTTATAGCACCTCCTGTGCTGTTCCACTAAAATACCTCCTTGCTCTGGGCTGACCTATGGCAATTCGAACGTCAGTGACTCAGCACATGTTGTTCCCATGGTTCTTTGCTCTTGTCTGGGTTGGCTAGCTTTCAGTCCTCCTTCGTGATTTATCTGGAAGCCTCATGAGACCATCCTGGGCTGACTAAGCTTGTGTCTCCTGTCTCCTTCCTGCATCGATCACATTACCGATCGCTGTCACAGTCTGTTGTCTCTCTATGTCCATAGGGTGTCTGTCTTTGGCACTGCACATTGTGGGCACTCAGTACCTGTTTCCAGAAACATTTCTAGGCAATAAATTGGGAAGGTGGCGGTACACGTGTCTGAAGCATCAGGGAAAAGACTTCTGCAGATTTGATTCAATGAGATTAAATTTAAGTCTCAGTTCAGCAGAGTTCCTGATGTCTGCTAAGTTAAAGAAACCAGCTATCTCGTATGCTGTTAAAAGAACAAAAAGCAGTAGACCCTGTGCCTAGCATATGAGAGATCCTAGGTTCACCCAGTATCTAGAAACCAAACCAAACAAAAGCAAACAAAATGCGATATGACAAAAGAAAGGGATTGTTCTTAGAGCAGTAGACAGGGATTCAAGTCCTAGCATCGCCACTTATTAACTGTATAAATTTGGTCAAATTCAATTACTTTTTTCTCTGAGGTTTAGCTCGCTCTTTTGTAATTCAGGGATGATAATGCCAAGTTTATTGGCCGATTATGAGAGTGAAATTAAATTATTTTTAAAATGAGATAATATATGTGAAATCACTACTGGCACAAAATAGGCCCTCAATAACTATGGCTTCTATTTTTTCTCATGATTGTCAGGGAGGCTTTCAGAAGTGAACAAAACATGAAATTTGACCTTAAGTCTGTATAAGAGATAAAAATATGTATAATACAGGCCACATTAAGGGAATAGAGATAAGCAGAGGCATAGAAAGATACAAAGGAAACACAAGTGGGTATTTCTGGGTTATTCATTCAAATTCCATGAGCTATGTGCCAAGTAGAGTGGCAGGAATAGGACATGGCACTTGCCCTGAAGGGACTCACGGTCTGGGGGGTGGGGAAAACAGATGGATAAGCAGATTAATTAAAATCCAGCAAGTCAGGGATCTAACAGAACCAGAATACAGAACATGAGGATGAAATGGCGAACTCTGAATTCTCCAAATCCAAGGAATTCAAGTCCAAGGCATGAGTCTGAAGAAGGAGGTATACCAGTTGGAGCTGTTTTTAAGGTTCTTACTCTGGAGTAAAATTTTGTAGTTCCAGTTCAGGCTTCTTAGCCAACACAGTCGTTAACAACTTTCCACATAACACATTAATTCAAATTTCAACACATTTAATGACATCAGCCAAAAAACAGATGTGTGCAAAGCAGCTGATGAAGATTACATCTTCCCTAGAGGGAGGCAAAATAGGGATGAATGGAAAAATAATTGTACACCCTAACAATCAGTATTGAAGACAGGTGAGTGCCAGTCCCTCAGGGACAAAATGGTTCCGGCCAGAAGTCTTGGTTCCAGGCTTCCATTTGTGACACAAATCAGTCCTGTAACCTGCAACCTGGGTTGCAGCTTTCTGCCTCCGAACACAGTGCGGGGGTTTGAATCCAGGGCCTCATGCAGGCGATGTGAAAATGATCCCAGCTACATGTCCAGCACCACAGTCTTTTTAAAAACAGGGATAATGGTTCTAAGATGGGACTACCTACTAGAGGTGTACAAATTAATTGTGCTGATTTTGGAAAGAACTGGGAAAACCAAAAAGCACCATGCAAAGCGGTCTCAGTGTTATTTCAGTTATAAAGCACTGCAGGAATTCCACAAGATAAATCCAGAAGTGGAGAAGCAAGGAAACGTTCCCATGGGAAGGAGGGCTGTCCACGACAGAGACATAGAAGGGGAGACAGCAGGCCAGGTGGGGAGACTGGCAGGAAAAGGGATTTCTTTAATGACATGGATAAGAGGATCAAGCACCTCTTCTAACGATTTTTCCCATATGTGATCTTCCCTACAACCTTATCTTCATGTTCTGGATGAGGAAACTGAGACCAGAGAGTTTGAAGAACCTACCCAAGCTCAAAGAACTAGGGAGGGGCAAAGCTATCGCTCTCAGACATAAGGTATAATGTAATGCACAATAGCTCACTTCTGTACCTCACAGCTGTGACTTTAAATTCCCACATCTTCCCTCCCCTGCTTCTGGGATCTTGGTTTAACCCACTTAACCTCCCTAAACTTAAGTTTCCTCGTATGAAAATAAGAATCATAGTAGCATCTGTGTCAAAAGAGCTTTCTTTTTGAATGTTTAATAATAATGTTCAAATCCTTGGCATAGTGCCTGGCACATGGCAAAGGCTCAGTAAGTACATGGTTAATCATTCTGCCCAGAAGGAATCCTCCATCCTGCTTTCCCGGCTTGCCTAACGCACTGCACACAGGGGCACTCAGCGCCTCCACAACTGGTCCTGAATTTGTTCCAACCGATTCCCTTGTCTTCTAACACTCTGGTCTATGTTATGGTCTCTTTCATTTCCTGACCTCACAGTGGGGATGTAGGGAAAGGAACAAGTGTGCTAGACTCGGCCAGAACTGGGATGGGACCCAAACACACACAGAATATACTCAGGGTAAGGAGAGGGTCCAAAGGAGAGGAGACCAAACAGGGGGCCCTTCAACATCCACTGCCCCAATTGCATAGGCTCTGACTGAGGGTAATTTACGGCAGAAGTGGGGATAAAGAGCCATGAAGATGAGCCAATGAAATGGAAGATGGCGCAGATTATGGGAGGTAATTTGGTGAAGTAGTTCAAACTCTTGCTTCTGGGATGAGATGCTGTTTTGAGCCTCTCTTTGAGTTCTAAAACATCCTTGGCTGAACGAGTCATTCAATCTCAGCCTCAGTTTATACATTTGTAAGGTAGGTAGAGTGATATGACCAGAATCCTAGTGCTGTTCTGAAGCTGAAGTTTAGGAAATAATGACCAGTGGCTGGCACATAAAATGGATCAATAAACATTAGGTAATAAAAGTCAATCTGGATAGGGCAGGACACATGCAGACCTAAAAGGCATAATAACTCATTAGTGTCTGATTGTGTGACCGGGTTGCATCTTGACTGAGAGCTAGTGGGCAGAGACGACAGGGATGTCAGGTGAAAGGAACTGAACCTGGAGAAAACAGCAGGGAGTCATGTAAATGGACTCAGTCACCTGGGTCCTGCAGGATGACATGGGTGGGCAGACCTTACTGAGCTGGAAGGGAGGAAGTTTATCACTGGATTCCACTATTTCATAGGAAATAATAGGGGGGGAGAGAGAGAGAGAGAGAGAGAGAGAGAGAG